CTCCTCCTCTCTTTCTTTCTTTCTCTCTCTCTCTCTCTCTCTCTCTCTCTCTCTCTTGTCCTAGCGAGTTGTCGTGTATGCATCTCTCATAACGTGGACCCAAACCTCGTCTCTACCTTGAGCCTTGTGTGCATTTAACATAATGTGTCTCCACCCTCGTCCTAGCTAGCAGTCTTGTGTGTACCTCACATAATGTAGACCCCACCCACGTCCACGTGAGCTGTCTTGTGTGCACCTAATATAACGTGGACCCAAGTCTCGTCTTTAAATTGTGTCTTGGGCTTACCTCACATAAAGAGAACCCAACCCACGTCTTTCTATTGTGTTTTGTGTGCACCCCACTCTATGTAGACCCAACCCTCGTCCTAGCTAGCTGTCTTGTACGCACCTCACATAATGTGAAAACGACCCTCGTCCATAAATTGTGTCTTGTGTGCACCTCACATAATGTAGACTCCACCCTCGTCCTAGCTAGCTGTCTTGTGTGCATCCAACTTAATGTGGACCAAACCAACGTCTTTAGCTTGTGTCTTATTGGTGTCTCACATAATGTAGACACAAACCTCGTCTTTAGCTTCTATCTTGTGCGCATCTCTTATTATAGGAACCCAACCCTCGCCTTTACCTTGCGTCTGTTGTGTAGGCTACCTGACGTAATGTGGATCCTTCTCTGGTCTTTATCTTGTGTCTTGTGGTCTTTATCTTGTGTCTTGTGGTCTTTATCTTGTGTCTTGTGGTCTTTATCTTGTGTCTTGTGTGTGCCTCACATAACGTTGACCCAACCCACGTCTTTTAATCGTGTCTTGTGTGTACTTAACATAATGTGTCCCCACCCTCGTCCTAGCTAGCTGTCTTGTGTGTACCCAACTTAATGGGGACCCAACAACCCCTGTCTTTACCGGGTGTCTTGCGTGCATTTCACATAATGTGTCCCCACACTCGTCCTAGCTAGCAGTCTGGTATGTACCTCACATAATGTAGACCCCACCCACGTACAAGTGAGCTGTTTGTCTTGTGTGCACCTATTATAACGTGGACCCAAGTCTCGTCTTTAAATTGTGTCTTGTGTGCACCCCACATAATGTGTCCCCACCCTCGTCTTTAGATAATGTCTTGTGTGCACCCAACATAATGTGGACTGTGGGTGGTTGGTGGGTGCTCTGGTGTGGTTTGTTTCTTCTTTCCTATCAAACATCTATCGTCCTTATCTCCCCTTTTTCTTTTTTTATGTTTGTTACTCTGTTGTGACACCTGAAATCTTCTGGCGCTCATATGACCTTATGCAGTTGCGAGCGCCGTAAAACCTCTACACAAAAAATGTAAAAAAATAATGTGGACCCAACTCTCGTCCTAGCTAGCTGTCTTGTGTGTACCTCACAAAAAGTGAATCCACCTTCGTCTTCAGATGGTCGCTTTTAAACACAAGGGGGCAGTCCCGTACAATGCTGTTTTGAGAAAATCGAAGGTAAAGTTTTTGCCCCTTGTTCAGTTTCTTTAAAAGACAAGGAGAGTTTTCTCTATTACCAAACGCGTATACACACCAGTGAAACTAAACTTCTCCTATACGTAGGGCAATGCCCATTTTTGGTGTAGGTCGAAATTCCTGGAATTCTCCGTAACCTGGGTTAGCCTGCTTGTCCTTAAAAACGACCACATAATATGGACCCTCCCTCGTCTTTAGATAATGTCTTGTGTGTGCCTCACATAATGCGTCCCAACCCTTGTCTTTACATAATGTCTTGTGTGCACTCCATATAATGTGTCTCCACCCACGTCTTTAGATAATGTCTTGTATGCGCCCCACATAAATGTGGACCCCACCCGCGTCTCTAGCCTGTGTCTTGCGCAAACACGAACTTGATCAAACAGAATGTTTGACCAGCATCGATTGGTTTCGATTTCAGCAACAGCTTGTTGGGAATAATTATGTCCACATCGTCTCCATGCGTTGCCAGTAATGTTGCCTGCCTTCTTATTAAAGGGCCAAAACCGGCGTAAGCGTAGTTGGTTGGCGGGTGCTCTGGTGTGGTTTGCTCCTTCTTTCCTATCAAATGTCTATCGTCTTGATCTCTCCTCCTTCTTTTTTTGTGTTTTTTACTCTCTTGTAACACCTCTAATCTTCCGCACTTATATGACTTTATGGTGTTGCAAGTGCCGTAAACCTCTTACTAAAAATAAAATCGGCGTAAGTGATATAGAGGTTCGGTGCTTCGCCGTTGTGTGTATATTATATAAATAATAATATAGTATTTGTGAGTACGGGTGTATGTGTGGGTGTAGGTGAACACTGTGAGTGTGTGTGTGTGTGTGTGTGTGTGTGTGTGTGTGGATGTGTGTGTGTGTGTGGATGTGTGTGTGTGTGTGTGTGTGTGTGT